AACAGAACAGTTACAAAGGAAGGATGTCCTGAAATGTTTCTCTGAAAATCAATGTTTTGATGTGCTTTCTAAATGTCAGGAGGGTAGATTTATGATTTGCTTTCCTACTCTTTAGATCCTATTCTGTTATATTTGGAATCTTTGTCAAATATTTGTTCAGAGCAGATCCCTGTTTTGGAGACCATTACCCATCACAGATTAGAGGATCGTTGCCAATGTCCTGCACAACTGGCTCCCCTCCATCTGTTACAAAATTTGGGAAAGCGAAAGCTCCTTGAATCCTGGATTCTTCCACCTTTCTGGCCGCTGTCGAAATCTAGTCCATAATGTATTTCTTACCTTCCCCTCTATTCTGGCACTGGTTAGTCCAGAATATTGACTACTGTGTCCAGTTCAAGACAACACACTTTAAGAAGGATGCCGACAAACTGGAACATGTCCAGAGGACTGTGAGGATAAACAAGGGATTGGAAACAAAGTCCTGTGAGGAAACACTGAAAGAACTGGGCATGTTTAGCCTTGAGAACAGAGAACTGAGGGGAGATATGATAGCACTCTTTAAATACTTGAAAGACAGAGGAGGGGCAGGATATGTTCTTGATTGTTCCAGAGTACAGGACAGATAATAATGGGTTCAAATTACAGGAAGCCAGATTTCAGCTGAATATCAGGAGAAACTTACTCATTGTTAATACAACAATGGAATCAGTTACCTCAGGAGACAGAATCTGACAGATGATTTTCTAATTTTCTTTTGAATGTTTCAAGCATTGTGGCACTCACTGTCTCCTGAAGTAATTTGGGCCTTTTCCAACTTCATATCCTTTGATTCAAATTACTGTGTTGAGCAGGCGGTTTTACTTGATGGCCTTATAGGCTCCTTCCAACTCCTTTATTCCTTGATATCCCTTCCCTTAATTTAAAATGTCTCAGCACACTCTAGAGAGTGCAGGGTTCATTTTATTTTCCCCACCCCAGTCTTTCAGCTTGGGGATGCCTTTTTTCAAAACTTGGAAGAGGACTGGAGTGCAGCCCTTCGAGGCTGGGGAAGAGAAGCATGCAATCCTGGACTTCTTCATAGTGACCACCCTGCTATATATACATGGCTTAATCATTTGTTCTTCCTGTAGAAGGGTCCAGTTTCTGTTCTTGGGCATCCTGTTGGAGGGATGAACTTGAGATATGGTTCTGTATAAGGCAGGTTTTGGATCTTTTCCCTTACATAACAGGACTTGAAAATTATACATATTTACATGCAATCTATTGTCATCTTCTGTGTTGTTCAAACAGGTGTAACAGGAAATAATTGAAGTCATTAATGTCTTTAAAACTCTGTTTTTGTATCCTGTTACATATCATACAAAACTTTCAATTGAGTAGCAATGAAATGACAGTATTTAGTGTTCAGTTGCCATGCTTTGAATGCAGACCTCTTGAAAAATAAGTAGTAATTTTAAAGCCAAAATACTTAGCTGTATTGATGTATGAACATGAATACAGTTTAAAGTGTGAATGATGTGTACCTAAGATCACATTTTGTGCTTGTGTGTTAGCTTATCTCATTCAGTAATGTGTTCTCTATAATTGAATGTTCAACAGTGCTCTTCACCACCCTCATCCACCTCCAGATCCATCAATTGACAGGGAAACTCAGTGTCATTGCTGGAAGTTTTGTTTATAAGGATAGACATATACAGAACAGAAGGAAAAATGACAATCAAAAAAAGAATCCTTTGTTTAACATCCTGTAGTTTTAGAAAGTGAAGTGAAAGCTGCTCTTCAACAATCAGAAGAAAGAAAACACTGTGAGTATAACTGTGTTCATCTGTAAAGGTCAAATACAGGTACATCAAAATTCTAATCAGAATATGCCAAGAAATATAGAAAACAAAACAGATTGGAAGCATTCAATATATATTCCAGTCCTAAAGAAAGAAGACACCAAAGATTGCAGTAACTATAGGATTCATTTCTTATGCCAGCAAAGTGGTGATCAAGATTTTATAACAAAGATTTTTACCATATGTGGAGAGATAAGCCAGATGATCAAGGTGGATTCAGAAAAATAAGAGACAGGAGAGATCATATGGCAGAAATGTTTAGCTATTAGAATGCAATCAAATTAAGAAGAAAAGTTGTTTGTTTAGTTTAAAATGTACAGCAGAGCCTTTGACTTTGTGAGTTATAAAAAAGCTATGGATCATTCTGAAAGAAATGGATGTGGCACAGCATTTTATATTTTGATGTGTAACCTATACTCTGGACAAGAAGTTAGTTAGAACAGAATACAAAGAAACAGAATGGTTTCCCATATGCAAAGGTTCAGTCTGTATACAGAACATGTCATACAGAAAACTGAATTAGGTTCAGATGATCTAACAGTGGAAGGTGGTAGAAGAAACATTAAGAATTAAGATATGCAGATAACAACACAATTTTATTGGTGGAAAATAGCAATTACTTTAAAACTACTGGTGAAGGTTTAAAAAAGTGCAAAAGCAAGGTTACAGTGTAACCTTGAAGGAGGTAAAAATAATGATAACGTAAGTGGATAACTTTAGTCTACATAATGGTTCTGTCTTCAGTCGAAATGGAGACTGCAGCCAAGAAATCAGAAGAAGCGAGAAACTTAAGTAGACTGCTGTGAAGAAACTGGAAGAGATCCTTAAGAGTACGGATGTGTCACTGGAGACCAAGGTCTAGATAATCCATACTTTCGTATTCCTTATTACTATGTACAGATTTGAAAAAAATATATGAAGAAAGCAAATGGGGGGGGTAATCTGAATTATAGTTTTGCAGGAGAGCTTTACAGATATCATGGACAAATAAGTGGGTTCTGGATTAAATCAAACTGAAACCCTCACTAGAAGCTGAAATGTCTAAATTGCAGCTATAATAGTTTGGACATATGAAAAGAAAACAAAACTTGCTGGAAAACACAAAAATGCTAGGGGGGTTGAAGGCAATAGACAAAGAGGAAGACCTAACATGAGATGGATCAAACCAATTTAGGTTACATGACCTGAGTGGGAGTGTTATTGACAGAACCTTTTGGAGAATCACTAACTCATATGATTAGCATGGGCCAAAAACAGTTTATGGCACATAACAACAACAGGTTCTATAACTCTCAATATAGTAGACTCTTTAAGTGCCTGGAGCTGTCTGGATAGTTCAGTGGTTCAGATAGTGGCTGCTGACCCAGAGGTGCCTCCTAGACGTAGAGCCAGCCCGCATAGCATTGGGCAACTGTACAGCCCCAGGGTGCCCCAAGAAGAAGGGAATCACAACCACTTCTGAGTGTTCTGTACTCAGAATATCCTGAAAAGGGTTGCCATAAGTCAGAATTAATTTGACCGCACATGATGATGATTTAAATACCTGCTAAATTAGTAACCCACTCCTGTCTGCTTGTTATACTGATTTCAATTTTTTTGCAGGAAGCTGTGGAAAAGGCTTCAGAAGGACTTCGTGCAGTGTGTCTGTGTATGAATTTTAGTGCTTATTTTATGAAGAAAAATGTTAATTGCTTGCATGGTGATGGAGAAGGATCTGTGTTATCAGTTTTACAGGCAACATTGCAGCTTGTTTTGGTAAAAGGAACTACAGGAGAATTTGAGGGTAATTGACACCTGTTATCACTCCTTTCTTTTCCTTTATAAGTTTGTGTAAATCCATCTGTATGAAATAACTCCCCCACGGCTACAGTTGCAAAGCTGTAACATGTACTTGTTAAATGGCTTGCATGTATTAATGTGAGACCTAATAGTACAAAGTACACTTTATATGCAAATAAGTTTGAAGAAGCCCATTTGATTTAATGGAAAACCTCAGGAGGCTGTATTTGTGAGTGGAGGAGTACTGGGGAAAAGGCTGATCCTGCACTCAAAACACTACAGTCCTCCAAGTAAAAATGCCCTCAGTGGGGTTTGCTCAGTTAATCTGTATAGGCCAGAGCCAAGATTAACTCTTTTCCCTAGCTGTTTTTCCCCCACGTTACCCCAAGAGAATATGTTCCTAAGGGCAGCCCTTATTCCAATGTGTTGCTATTAGTGCGGGTGGGGATTTTTACCATTAAATGATTGGCAACTAAAGGGATAGCCAACCCTGGAGTGCAAAAGCAAGCGGCTGTACTGCCCAAGGCCTTGCCTGCTCCTACTGTCATGATGCCACACTCATAATGCCTGCTGGAGAGAAGGAGGAAGAGTGGGGAACGCAATGTCTAGCTACTACCTCCCTGTGCTCACAGTACAACAGCTTTTGGGCTGGCTGTGTGCATAAAGGTACAAGGAGCAGGCCATTAAGGCAAGGTGGCCAAAAAGGGTCAAGTGGCACCGGGGACGGGGCAGTCCTCCCCATCATGCCTTGGCTCTGACGGCCTTCATGACAAGGCAGAATGCACATAGGTACCTGAGAAGCCATCCCGTTGTGGAGATAGAGAGATGGTCGTGCAGTAGCACTTACAAGAAGAGACCAGCAGTGGCGGGGAATGGCTTGCTCAGGTGGCAGAGAGTTGGGGGCTGCGGCAGCTCCACAATCTGAAGAGGCCATTTCCTCCTTCCTGGCTAATGCCTGGCCTACTCCTCCAACCCTACGAGGTCTGCCACTCTTCCCCTCATTACTGGAGCTATTTGAGTTGCTTTTTCATTTTAAAAAAAGGGAACCTGTTTGGTCTTCATCATTACCGTTTGTCTGCATGTGTCACTTAGGCTTCAGGTATCTGGCTTCTCATTTTCTGCCCTGAGAGAAACATCAAAGAATTATTCCCCCCCCTTTTTGCCTCGGGGGGGGGGAAATGTCTCCTCCTTTGAAGGGTTTCTGCCCAAGGGTTGCACAGCAGCAGTGTACTTTATGGATTGCTTCCTTTGTCCGTGGTTACATATTAGACAGCCAAGTAGAGCTAAGCAAATAAAGCATGATTTCGCAATTAAGGAAGAGATTGTGTTACATGTTGCTTGTAATTGGATAGTGTCATAGAAGAAGCTTCTGATTAAAAAAATCCTAGGTGGAAAAAAGGAGAGGATTTTCCCCTCCCTTTCCCTCATTTGTGATATTCCTAGGTGGTTTCATTGGGATTTGAATGAATTTGAAAGCTATTTTAGCTTAATATTTAAGGCCTTGCTTATCAGTATTTTATGTCTTGCCATTGTTGTACAACCATGCAGACCATTTAAATACTTGTAAATGGTTTCTTACCCTATACGTCAGTGATGGTGAACCTATGGCACATGTGCCACAGCTGGCATGCAGAGCCCTCTCTGTGGGCACACGAGCCATAAGTCGCCATCGAGAAATACTTACTCATCCTCCAATCCTGGATTTCGGCACTGCCCTCTGCTGGTGCAGTGGTCCAGCGGAGGGGTGCAATGGCTACCATGACCGGTCTAGCTCAATGGGGGATTGGAGGACTGGTAAGTATTTATTTGTTAATACCGCCCATGGGGGGAAAAGCACAAGCATTTAACCCTTGCAGTGCAAGGGCAGTTTTTTTTTCCTAAACAAAACCTCAGTATTCAGTTTTATTTGCGGTGTTGGCACTTTGAAACAAATAAGTTGGTTTTGTGTTGCAGTTTGGGCACTCGGGCTCAAAATGGTTTGCAGTCACTGCTGTACAGTATGTAGTAGGGGCAGGCAAAAGACAGGTCACCGTTAATCAGCAGGGTTTTTTGCATTTCCATGGACATACAGCAATGGTTCTGAAGTTCTGTCTCCCTTTCCACTCCAACCCATCCGGCCTAACTAGGTTGATTAAAGAATGGGTGGAAGGAGTTATTTTTTTATAGGAAGGGACTTGTGGGCTTGCCTCTGGGACCCACCCTGTTCTTCAGTGAATGGCAAGGATGTTCACAGGGTTTTTGCTGGTTTCGAAGGCGGCAAAGTTGTACAGTGTTGCATTAATATAAATTCTGTGCTAAATATGGAAATGGGTGATAGAATGAATTTGGCCCATTATGTAATTTTTATCTGGTTTCCAATTGCCCCACCAAATTTTTCCCAAGGCTGAACAACAACTTGCATTAATCAGATGCTTCTCTTTAAGTTTTCTATGGAATGCCCCAGCCATGGCCATTGGCCACATGTTTCCCTTCCTGCAAAATCCTCACTGCTAAAAGGATACAGCGTTGCCATAGAACATTGCATCTCTGTCACATACTGTGGATAACGGAGTAAATATTTACAGTATGTCAATCCCACACCATCATTTGGAGAACCCTGCCCTTGCCTTTAAATTTCACCATGTTTTTTTTATCATTGCTTTCTTATATAACACTGCTTACATGTATTAGGGAGCATTTAAGTTTAATAGTTGCACCATTAAATGTTAACTCCTTAACTGCCCATCATTTTTTCTGCCTTTTCAGATATAGCTATTTAGACATGTTCTCTTCTGTGAGTTTATTGATAATAAATAACACTTCTTTGTGTAATATGGCAAGGAGGCTTTCAAAAAGAAGACATTAAGTTAGCACTGGAAAGTATGTAATCTTTGATACAAGAGTATAGCGATAATTCCAATCGATTGAAACTACAAGGGAAAATAATGCTTGAGCAATCCGCTTATAGTATTCCCAGACATGGATGAAACTCACTAATGGAATAAAGAAGGATCCAGATAATTATCTCAGCTGCATTAATTCCATTCCTTTCAACAAACTGCAGTTGCTTTGACACAGTTTCCATAATATAGATGTTTTCAAGATATAAACTAGTTACCTCTTTTATGAAAGATTGGAATTAGTATTTATGTTCTGGTCAATCATCTGCATTTATTTATTTTTTTTTGGTCCCTCACGCACTTATGCAACCTTGGTAGTTTTAATGAAATTGATTATTTTGCTTTTCTTGCTGGTTTTCTGCTGAAGTCAATGCATAATGCTGACCCAAGGGTCAGCTTCTGCACCCTCCTTGCATGGACAAATAATGAAGAAATGTTTGTTTAACAAAGCAATGTACTGAAAAGTGAGGCTGTGACCTGCATGTCTTGGTGCCATGGTTGGCTGAATAGATTTCTACTCAACATTTCACCTGAATGAGCTCTTGTAGAAAACCAGAGGAAGTAACATAAAATGCATTTGGACTTGCCAAGTTAAAAAAAGGCAAGCAACACTTTAACCTAGCTGAGGACAACGTTTACCTGGATATGGATATGGGCCTACAGCTGTGTGGATGAGGTAGATACCTTGTCCTGATTCCTTTTGCATTTAACTATGTGTGCAATAGTACTCTTCTATTTTGAGCTTTGTACAGAGATATCAAGTGCCTCTTTGGACAAGTCAAACATCTGTTGTATCAAATGAGTGGTCTCTGTGCAGTGGTGAATCAGAAGGTGATGGGGAACATTGATGCTGGATTCTGTGCAACAGGATTCTGGCCCTGGATAGTAGCAGGATATAAACAGAAATTGCTCTCCAGTACAGTGACTGTAACCACCTGTGGTTTATGACAACGTGAAATTTTATATTAAGCCTAATCTCCTTAAATTCCTAAACTGTAGTTCTAAGGCCAATTATGTACAGGGTTTCCATCCAAATCAGTAGAAGACAGGAATTAAAACAAATGTTGTAGCCTAATGATTAATAAAATCCTGCTTTTTAAAAAGTACAGTATATTGGGTTATTTCATTTCTTGTGTTTTAATTCCACTTTGAAGATATTCATCTTGTCTGGTTTTGGAAGCTAAGCAATATTAGGCCTGGTTAGTACAGTGGACCCTTGACTTACAGACGGCTTGACTTACAGACTTTTTGAGTTACAGACTTCTCTGGCCGCAAAATTTAGGTTTGACTTGCAGACTGAGATTTGACTTACAGACCAGAAAAAAACCAAAATGGAACAAAAACGGCCTGTTACGGGATTAATCGGTTTTCAATGCACTGTAGGGCAATGGAGACTTGACTTACAGACTTTTTGACTTGAGAACCGCCTTCCAATACGGATTAAGTTCTCAAGTCAAGACCCCACTGTACTTGGATGGGAGACCGCCAGGGAAAACTGTGTGTGAGAGACGTATTGGGAAGGGACTCAAGTTCCAATGGTAGAGCACATGAAGACAATCCAAAGCTTGGCATCTCAACACAGAATCTTGCTTGAAAGCCTAGAGAGCTACTACCAGTCAGAGCTGACAATACTAGGCAAGATGGAACAGGAGTCTGACTCCACAGAAGGGAGCTTCCTATGATCGTTTGTAACATTTACTGGCTTTGCTTGTGTGCTTACTTGATAACTACAGTGGTGCCCCGCTTAACTATTACTCCGCTTGATGACAAATCCGCTTCATGATGATGTTTTTGCGATCGCTATTGCGATCGCAAAATGATGTTTCAATGGGCAAAATCCGCTTTGCGACGATCGGTTCCCTGCTTCGGGAACCGATTCTTCGCATCACGATGATCAAAACAGCTGATCCTTGGGGTTTCAAAATGGCCGCTGGCTGTTCAAAACGGCTCCCTGCTGTGTTCAGAATGTATTTTTCGCTGCACAGGCATCGGAAAATGGCCGCCCTATGGAGGATCTTCGCTGGACGCTGAGGTATTTCGCCCATTGGAACGCATTGAACCGGTTTTCAATGCATTTCAATGGGCTTTTTTATTTTGCTTGACGAGGATTTTGCTCTACAGCGAT